TTTTTTTTTTATATACCTTTATTAATGATTGTTCCAGGAAGCTTCGTGCTATGCATTGAAAACAAAAAACCAAATGCTTGAGAAGTTTAAGCAGTTTTAGGCTTTGGTTGAGAGACAATTAGACGATAAGTTTAAATCTATCCATGCTAACAATCATAATAAGTACTGTGAACTCTTTGATGTTTGTTTCAATTAGCAAGGTATAAGACATCAAAAGATTCCTTATGAAACTCTTCAACTAAATGATTTAATAGAGAAGATGAATAAGACTTTGATTGAGAGGGTTAGGTATATGTTTTTTAAAAGTAAAGTTTCCTAAGTATTCTAGGTGAAGCACTATACACAGCGGTACATGTTATTAATCTTAGTCCTGCAGTTGCTTTTAAATATTAAGGTATTAGACAAAATTTATTTTGGCAAAAATGTTAAGTACGATCATTTGCGACTCTTAGGTTGCAAGACTTTTATGCATAGCCTAAAGGATGAAAGATCTAAGTTTGATGTGAAAACTAGGCAATGCATTTTCATTGGCTAAGGTCATGATAATATGATTGCAAGTTATATAATCCTCTTGAGAAGAAACTTGTTAAAAGTCATGATGTAGAGTTCATGAAAAGAAAAACCATTGAAGACATTGATTAGATGGAGAAGACTACATCCAAGAAAGTGTGATCCAATTCATATGTCGATACATGATATAAATATTGTTAAGAATAATGTCCATAATGATGAGCAACACAATTATGTTGATGATCAACAACTAGGAGATGATTTAGAAGTTCACATTGATGATATTGAAGAGGAACATGAGATGTCACAAGATGAGAATCTTTGTTATAAGTGGTTTGATGTATGCAATAATGTCTATACTCCTTTTGCAACTCATATGAAGTTGAGTTTCAAATATATTTATTCAAATGAAGTTGAGAAATCATATATAAAGCAGGTTTCTTATGCATCTGTTATAGGTGGTTTAATGTATGCAATGATGTGTATAAAACTAGATACAATACATGTTGTTAGTACATATAATAGATTTATGTCAAATTTAGGTATAGAGTATTAGAAAGCTATAAAATAGATTTTGAGGTATCTTTGTAGTATTATTGGTTTAAGATTTTGTTTTAGAGGTGATAATTCTACCATTGCAGGCTATACTGATTTTGATATGGATGAAGATATTGATTTCAGAAAATCTACTTATTGTTACTTGATCAAGTATATAACAATCTAATTTGCAAAAGTGTTATTGTCCACTATTGAGGCAAAATTTGTCATCATTATAAAAACATACAAGGAGTTGCTTTGGATGAAGATATTCTTGCAAGAACTTGGTTTTGTTTAGGATAAATACTTGTTATTTTGTGATAGTCAAAGTGTTATTCATCTTGGTAAGAAATTAAATTTTCATTCTAGGTCCAAACATATTGATGTGAAGTATTGTTGGATATCTAATGTATTGGATGCTAAGTATTCATGGACAAGTGTAACTATTGAAAAGTAATAAAGGGATTTTCAAATCGAGTTCTTAGAGTATCGTCTCACATATATTATTTTCAATTATCATGAATATTGTGATTTAATTGTTTGAACCTAAATAATACCTAATAAACTAAAATAAAAGTGAGAAAGAGTTAAATAAGAAGATAACTAAAAATTCAACAAAATAACATAATTTTTAACACAAAAATTATTTAAGATGAATCTAGGGCTTTTTGTTTCACCTTCATACCTCTTTATATTCAATTTTAGTTTAATCTTAATTCCAGATTTCCTATTATCGCTAATCACTCATATTAAAACTACTTTCACCCAATGGTAGTATAATATTAGCATACTATAGTACCCTACTCATATCCTACCTATTGTTATCCCTACTCTTTATACAGAATATAGAATCTAAGAAAATATAATAATTTGGCCTCCACAAGATATGCTCTATCTTCAATAAAGATATGACTTATCAATAGAAAATATATAATTTTTTGTTATTAAATTCAAAGTTCAAATTCTTTCTTTGCAGACCTCCTAAAAATCTCTTAATCAATTAGGCAAGAAGCGAAACATGGTCGTACATATCCTCCAGCATGGTTCTACATGGTTACAAAGCACTCACAGGTTGACTGTTAAGTAAAGTCGTGTTTCCTGTTATGTATGACTCTGCTTTCTATCAAATTTATTTCAATCACAAGAAAATGTTTTCGTAGATGATTAATTTGTGATAAATTACAACAATTAATGAATAAATCACTGAAAAATCTTCATCAAATAAGGACCAAACATATAAAAATTTGCCATAAAACACCCTATATAAACTTATCACTAGCTAGGTTGTTAGAATTGGGAAATGTTCAAACTAATGATAATGGTGCTAATATGATGAATAAGGCATTACCAAGATGAAAGTTTCAACACGTGATACAACATGCATCCAGGAGGAGAATGGGCCAAGTGAAGCTAACAATCCAAGTGTTAAAGCGAGACCCAAGAGAAGTATTATGAGGCCCGCAGACTGGGACGATTACGTGCACTGATAAAGTGTTATGGTTGTTTTGTTAGAATATTTCTGTTAGAACTGTTTCGTTGGCGGTTACCGTGATATACGAGTAAACCGTTAGTGCATGCAATAAATATAGGCATTGTAATGAACTATTGAAAATAAGAATCTTATACATTGAATTTCTATTTTCTTCCTGGAGGCCTGGTACCTCGAATACCAGATTTGTTAACTCTAACACCTATTAAAAATCCTCATCAAATAAGGACCAAACATATAAAAATTTTCCATAAAACACCCTATATAAACTTATCACTAGCTAGGTTGTTAGAAATGAAAAAAGTTCAAACTAATGATAATGGTGCTAATATGATGAATAAGGCATTACCAAGATGAAAATTTTAAACTTGTTGTGAGATTATTGAGTTGGTGGTTATCTTTGCATAGTTGTGAGGGGAACATCTAGATATATTAGATATTAAGTTCCCATCCTATGAAGAGAAAGGTCCCAAAATAAGCAAACTCATTTTATCTCACTTGTAGAAGTGGAGATAAGTCTTTGGGGTTGAAAGAGAGAGAGGTCATTAGAGAAAGAAAATAACTACTGTTGTGAAAAAAGAAAAGAGAAAGTCATTTTCACATAACCTTAAAGCAACCTTGGTAATTTGTATTTACAAAATCATTTCTATTGTATCGAGATGAAAATTTGATAACAATTTTATAATATGTGGTTCTTCATTTTAAACAATAGATCATTTAAACAAAGTTTGTGGTGTGATTAATATAGCTCGTACAATAGTTCTATTTTTTTGAGTATTTTTATCTTAGTTTTTATTTAAAAGTTTTGTTGCTAAATTTGATTAAATGATTGTAAGTACAATTTATATACTTATTTGTGACTTATAAATTTATTTGATTATAGTGAAATTATTTTTTATGTTTAGACAATTTATAGTTTTTATCTTTTATATTGAAGAGGTTTTCTATATTAATTAAATAACTTAGTACTTATTTTTATTATTTTTAGTTGTTGTAATATTTGTTATTATTTTTTATAGATTCTTATCAGTTGAAAATTTTGATTTTGTTAAGTTATTTATTATTGTATTTGTATTATTGTGTTGATATTATCCTCTTCGTAATGTGATACATTTAATAAAATTTTTAATTTGATAACTTTGATATAAATATACACGCTTAAAATACAAATTAATTTTTCTCGTGTTAATTTGATGGGAGTTTCAAATTACAAATGTGTGAGAGTATTTTTAAAGGGATATTAATGGGTTGTTTATCGTGATTTTTACAAAATATGTCACCTATAGATACAAATTTTTATTTAGTAGGGCAGCACAGTGAAAAGGTGGATCTTAATATTGAAAACTTTGACAAAAGAAAAAACCTTCATATACCATAGATAAAGTTAGCCTTGAAGTATATGTGGAGAGACTCATAAGTGATGGATTGTAAGAAAAATTGATTGTGATCCCAAAATAGAGTTTGAGTTCAAACTTTTGAAATTATGTCTTTAAAAAGAGTTTTATTTAACTCACTTCAATTAGAAGATTAATCATAATCATATAAAAAAATTGTGTAAATAACGTTATGTTTTTAAAAAAATTGTTTCCATTCACGCAATATTTCAGATTAACGTAAAGAGTAAAATCATCATCATTTTGTTAAGTGTATAAATAACGTTATAGTTCTCGTACCTTTAAATAATTATATAATAGTATACTGAATATCAATTTGTGTAAATTATAAAATTAGAATAAAAGTATCAATTTTAGCCTATTAACTTCCCAAACCTTCAGCTCATTAACACGCCTATCACATATATAACGAGTAACGTGCTTGAAGGTTGTCTTGAGCGAACCCATTTAGAGATTTTCTATCTACAAATGTTGGCTTGTTAATTTATAGCTACTTTGAATTCAAGAAACATTGGTTTTCGTCCTCATCGTCACAAGGTGGACCAGAAAGTTCGCTTATGGTGTACTATACTTCTAGTTAGAGTCCAAAACAAGTAAACAGAAAGGTACATACATAATAATAAGGGTTATTTTTGTTTTACATAAAAGACAAGTATAAATATAAGCCAGCAAAAAGACAGATATATATACGGATAAAAATAGAAAGAAAGAAAAAATGTTGATGACTTTTTGTACAAGAGAGGTCGGTAAGTGAAGGAAACGACACTTATGGCACCAAAACTAAGAATAGATATGATTGTGATCCTGGTCCAGCTAGCCCATTGAGTTTGGTACTTAGGTTTGTCTGTGGTCACTCACTACTCAACTAACTTGTATAAGGTGATCTTCATTAGGGATACCTATAAATGTGGAGAATCGATTTCATAATGTATACATCCAAGCATACACTTCCGATACAGTATATGTTTTTAATGTTTATCTCTCAACAAATTCAACTATGTTTTTCATAACTACTCAGCTATAACCCATAGAATATCCTACAACTATATATTGTATTTGTTAAATTTAAATTCAAGAATTTGTATTTGCTCGTTTAATTCCAATTGCAATAGATCTTAATTCCGCGCAATCGATACCAAAGAAATGAGAGACAGAATGGAAAGGCTTGTCATTCTTCCTTTCTCTTTTGGTTGTGTCTCTGAGGCCACCGTTGCAGTGGGCACTACGCAACCAAGAAGATCAAGACCAGACACTAATTCACAAGCTGCTACAACAAGTCAGTCTCTTAATTTGATACCATCTTCTTTTTAATTAATTTCTTCTGTTTTATATATGATATTTATGTGTACGTGTGAGGGTCAAGGCTTGATTGATTTAGTTAATAGTTACTTCATCTCAATCAGATCTGTTATTAATTATATAATAAATTTAGAAGGCCCTAAGGATATTTCGGAAAGCATGTCTGGTGAAAGCATGAGGAACTTGCTGAAGTTTCATGAGGATGTCCCAAAATCCAACACACACCCCAGCTTCAATAGGTTGTTAAAGGGTTTCAAGAACCTTCCTCAATTGTTTGGTGAGTACAAATACATAACATGTTTAATTTGATTAACCCATTCACCCACTGTGCGTAACAGTGTGTGATTTGCAATACTTTGTAGTGGATAAAGAAAAAGTGGAAATGGAGATGGAAATAGGGTGCCCAACAAATGTGCAGCACGTGACACATATTGGTTGGGATGGCACAGGAACAGGAACAGGAACTGCAACATCCTCCGAGTCCATTATGGGATGGAAGGATGCTGTACCTCCTCCGCCTCACCTTTTACAACAGTTCAACTTGGAACCAAAACCTGGAACATTATCATCATCATCTCCCATGAAGCAGACTCCTAATTAAAGTTTTATACATACATATATGTAACTTAGAATACGCATTAAGCAGGATTTCGTTGTAGAGGATATACAAATATATATATATATATGTTTGAGTCGCCACTGAATTTGTGATATGGGTAACCATTTTGGTTTGAAGTTAATCATAATAGTACATCCATGCTGAGGCTAGCATTCACATATTTGTATGTATATATTCATTGATTTTGACTGAATAAAAAATAAGTGAATAAATAAATAATATTATTTTATTTGTTCATTTTTATGACCACAAAATAAGGTTAATAGAACAGTAGTTTTAAATTCTCTCTTTTACAATACTCCTTTATACATATACGCATGTCCACACACCTTCGCGTGTAGATAAAGTTTTTATTTTTAACCCAAAATATAATTAAATGTTAGTTTTATAAATATAATAAATTTATTAATTGTTGAAACAGGATCATATATGAAATAAAATATTTAATCGGTTGATAAGTAGAATTATAGAAGTAGAAAATATTCTTCTTACAAAATAATCTTTATTTCAAAATTCACTTTAAGTCAACATATATCAAGTGCGCCTTGTTTAATTTTGTTAAAAAAAATTATTTGTATTTATTTGTTTATGTTTAAAAAATTAATATATTGAGTATACTTTTTAATATAAGTGTAGTCTTTCAAAGTAAATTAATAAATATAAAACTAATAATAAATAAAATATTTAGTTTAAGTATATAATATAAAAGACAAAATTCAGGTATAAATCTTTAATTGCAGTTGATGTTGTTTATTATTTAAAATTAGAATATTATTTTAATAATATATAACAATATTAAATGTAAACATTTTAATAAAATAAAACTTTATTTTGATTAATAAATTACGCTAACATCAACTTAAAAAAACGTATATATAAAATTTATCTTTTTTAAGCTAATAATATAAAAAAATTAATTCTTTTTATTATGATACTAGTAGATTTGAGAGGACATTGGTTGTAATTTTTGTAATATATAATTAAAGAATATTTATATTTTTTAAATAAATTACTAACTCTATTATCTCTTATTATAAAATTAACAATTATAATTATTTTAAATGTGAGAAGACATATTTAACTAGAAATTACCGAAAAAAAGTGTAGAAGTCCAAGTAAAACAGGTCTTCAATTGTAACGTATTCAGGTAGACAAATATATTTCAACAGACTTTGTCTACGTAAATTCCATAGACTAAATCAACTATCGGTTGATACTTCTGACGTTTTGATTACTTATCATAAGGCGATATGCATATCTTAAATAATTATTAATAATATTAATTATGATAAAACAATTTATTTAATGAAATTATTTTGTTAAAAATGTTAAAGTATGGTTATAAATTAAGTAAAAAAATTATTTAAAATGAATAATTTCCTAATTTTTTAAAATGATAAACATTTTTAAATGGATATAGCATATTATGCTTTTATTTATTTTTATAATTATTATTTAAAAGACATTATTAATTAAGAATTCATTAAATCAACAAAAAAAATTAACACATTTTTACTGTAGTTTTAACAATAATTTTTACTATTAATTTTTAAAATAAAAATTAAGAAATATTAGTACATAATTATTCATTTATTTTTAATCATTACTTTTTAAGACAATAGTTAAGAAAATCGTTATTTTACTACAAATAAAGGTGTTTTGAGGATAAATTTTCGTTTGCGCACGAATTGAGGTACCGATACTATAGAAGTGAATGCTATCTTTCCTTTTCTCTCTTTTCTTTCTCATTTCAATGCCTCACTTTTTATGTTTATAATTCTTTTATTATTAAATAAATTTAAATTTTCTTAAATTGTTGAATAATATATACTTATATTAATATACATATATATATATATATATATATATATATAATTGTTATCAACTTTAGTTAATAAAATTTGTAACCAATTAAGATAAAATATTGTTTGATAAAAAAAAACATCTTTTTCATATTAATCTATGCACTATAATTGAGAATTTACTATTAGAGAAGTGAAATATACTTCATGAATATTTCGTCATGTTTTTATTTTAGAAATAAAATTAACGAATTATAATATGTGAATTATATTATTTTTTTATTAAATAATTTTAATTTTATTCACATTTTTTTAATTAATTTTTTATAAATTTTAGAGGTTAAAATTTTTATTTACTTTTTTCTTATTATTTTATATATATTTTTATATTTTTAATACCTATTTTAATATTTTAAAATTATGTTTATTTTTTTCAGATTTATAATTTACTTTAAAAAGTTTATTTAAATTTATGGATTTTAATATATATTAATTATTGGTATTTAATTAAAAATATACTATATGATAAAATTATTATTTAAAATATTTAACTTTATTATAACTTTATTACTTTAATTCATAATATATATAGTTATAAAATTAGGTAAAAATAATTTATAAAGAAATTTATCTTTTAAAATAATTTTATTATATAATTATTTATCAAAATTTATATTATAAGTAAGAGTTTATTATTTTAAAAAAATAGAGTATTCGTGAAACTATTTTTCTTCACATCTCACCACGTTATATTTGAAGAGTATAATTGATTAAAAATAATATGTAAATTATAATTTTTTTTATATTTTTAGTAATTTTGTCATAAATTTTAAAAATTAAAGTTATTACTTACTTTTATTATAATCTTTTATATATATATATATATATATATATATATATTACTAATTTAATATTTTAGATTTTTAAATTTATAATTTACTTGAAATATTCCTATCTCTTAAATTTACGATTATTAGTTAAAAATTGATATAATAAAAATATGGTTTAAAATTTATTTAATTTATTAAAAATTTCTTATTTTAATGTTAGTTATAGAATTAGTTAAAATTCTTTCGTAAAAAATTTATCTTTTAAAATAATATAATTATTTATTTAACTTTTATATTATAAATGAGTGTTTACTATTTGAAAATTGAAACATTCATAAAATTTATTTTCTTTACAGTTCACATATATATTTTAAAATTAAATTTAACTAAAAATAATATATAAATTAAACTTTCTTTAGTTATAATGATTTTACTTTATTTTTTTTATTTTATAATAAATTTTAAAAATTAAAGTTATTAATATTTTTTTATAACTATATATATACACGTGTAAATACCTATTTTAATATTTTTAAAATAATATTAAATTTTCTATTTTTTTAAATTTATTGTTTACTTTAAAAATTCTTATTTCTTAATTGTATAATTATTAATATATTAATTATTTATATTTATTTTAAAATACTTTTATGGTATACAATAAAAGTATTATTTTAAAATTATTTAATTTTATTAAATTTTTATTATTTTAGTGTATAATATTTGTAGTTATATAATTAAGTTAAGATATCATAGATCAACTTTCAGGGAATTGTTTTAATCTAACATGTTAAATTTGAATTATAGTAAATATGGTTGTATTAAATAGTTAAAAAATTTGAATTCAGTTAAAATAATTGAAATAAAGTTATCATTTTAAAATAGTTTTATTATATAATTTTTATATTAAAATATAAGATTTTATTTTGAAATTATTAAATTATTTGTATATTACTAATAATATATATATATATATATATATATTATTTCTTTATCTTCTATTATTTAATATTCTTCCCTATATGATTGCGAGGCCGTTGTTCTTTTTCTTTTTTTGGTTCAACTAATTGCTCAATACCACTCCTACCACTCTTCACTCTTCTCACCTTAAACCCACATGAGAAGAGACTGAGAGCTTGTTAGAATTTTTCTTATTCCATTATGTAATTTTCATTTGATATGACTATTATGAAATTATCATTTCCATTCGATCTTGAATTACATTATTCCCATAACACAATACATGATTTTCATACAATTAAAGGTTTAAAGAGCACTAACCTGAATCTATTGTTACTCAATATTACCTCTCTCTATGATGTCGTTAAGCCCTTTGTAATTTTCTCTAACTCTTCCTTCTTTTTTTAGCTCCTCTCGAATGGTTAAGAGAAAGTTTTTTTCTTGCGTTTACCGTGAACACTTTTAAAAACTATGAAAATAATGCTCTCAATAATGAAAGCTGTAACTTCTCTTTTGTTAACCGTTCTTTTATTTTTTTTGAAGGGAGAAGGGGATTTCCTTATAATTGTATTTATAATTATACCCTCAATAATTCTATATTTTATATTTAACCACCATCACATTAAATCATTAATTAGAGTCATACTATAAGTTACATAGGTCACTATAATAAGATTATTAAAATAATCTAACAATCTACTACTTGCCCTATGTGACGACATGAAGATTCAATGAAATGTAAGTGCGCATATTATTGATAATATCAAGTCATCATCTTTTAATGATTTGAATTGATCTGATCATGGCAGTCACAAGTCATTTAGCGACATGATTCCTTCCAACTATCACTGAGCCAACTCAAATTAAGATAGTTTTAATCATTCATACTACATACTGCAACTTTGATGTGTTTTTAATACTCAACCTGTTATCAAACTCAAACTATAGATGTACATTAATACAATTCAGATAACAAGTAAACAAGCAAAAACCATACTTTTATTAAATTCCTAAAATGTCTACAATAATATAAGCAAAACAATTTATAAACATATATATGAATCATACAATCATGCTAACAATGACTTATCTATAATGCCATTCTTTCAACATGGACAGAAAACGTTTTAAGGGGTAATCCTTTAGTTAGCGAATCCGCTATCATTAAATCAGTACCAATATGCTCAATAGACACTTTCTGTTTTCACACTTCTTTTTTCACTGATAAGTATTTTAAGTCCATATGTTTTGCTCCCTTGGAATACTTATCACGGTACATTCTTAGAGGCTTTTCTATACTATCAACAATACCAAGTCCTAAGACAAAGTTCTCCAGCCAAAAAGCATGAATAGTGGCCTCAAAGCATGCCACAAATTCTACTTCCATGGT